TGCTTACGTGGAGCCTTTCCTCCAGTAGATTTACGAGCTGTCTGCTTAGTACGGGCCATTTTTCCTTTTTACCTAGTGGGCGAAAAAAGAAACAAACAAAAACTGTTTTATTTTCAATTGTTTTGTCTCTTGTAAACAAAATCACTTTAATCGCATTTGATTATGTAAAAAATGATGTACAGAAAAAAAAGTTCATTCAAAATTCGTATGAAAACAGCTGAGTTTCATAGTCAAGTGTTTGTAGACGAAGCGTAGAAATACGATGCAGGATCGGCTATAACGAAACGCAAACTCAACTCATGTATACACAATCACATTTGAGTTCAGGCTTACATAAACAAGCTGTTTGCTTGCACGCCACTATGCTATTTGTAAACAAACGCGAGGAAGTATCGTTTTACAATGACCCTGTTGTACGACGAAAATGTCGACGACTACAACAGTGTCGATAGCATCGCTAAATCTCCCTCTATATGATGCACTATATCTATATACCTCTGTGCAAAGGAAAGTTCACTGCACATGCACAAAGCGTATGAGAGCGTATCTAACGATTTATAAATTCAATGAAAAAATGGTGAAATTATTATGATTTGGAAATTCGATGAATATTTGTTTTTTTCCACAAAATTTTTTCGAAAATGATGCAAAAATGCGATGAACACGCAAAAAAAATTGAACAATTGAAATGGAAAATGCTGAAATTATTAATTTATTCATGAGAAGTGAAAACCAAGAAATAAAATGGCGTCGATGCGCTCGAAATAAAATGATAAATTGCGGGAGAGTGAAGAAAATCAAAGGAAAAAGAAGTACAGCCAACATAAACGACGCTCGTCATAATTTATAAAGCAGCATCATTGTTGTTGGCCAAAGCAGGTAGTGTAAGCACACTCATGCACATCTATACATTTTTTCTCTGTACAACAGCCAAAGACAACTGTATCGATGATTTGACCCCCACCACAAATGTTTTGCTATTTACGGTTGTTGCTTTTTTTCGCAGTGAGAAAAAAACCATTTTTTATGCGATAAAAATATCTTAAAAACACTTGATCGAATATTTGGCAAGAGAAAATAAAAAAAAATGTGAAGTACCTTTTCCTTTCAGATTATCGATGTATTGCACAGAATTCAACAGATTCAGTGAGAATAATCGCAGTATACTTATGCGTGTTTTATGTTTTATGTTCAAATTTAAACTGGAAATTGAATATCAATGTGAAAATCAATCTTTGCTTGAAGCTTAATCGTGCAATAGAAAGGGATGTTTGTATATGATAATTATGGCTTTGCATTTGATAAGAAAGAGATAGTTGGATCTAACAGTTTTTGAGTTGTATGAGAAAAATGTAAGCGGAAAAATTGCACAGCAACAACACCAACTCTGAACATGTTCAAGCTCTATAAAATCGACAAAATGATTGATAGATGGCGATGCGTGTTGGAAAATTTTCTTCTTTTTGGGGATTAAGAGGAGTTTTTTTATTCGTCAACCAATTCGTCGTTAATTGCATTATTTACAAAAGAATTTTTTTATCGTCATTAAATTTGGCAATGTTATGAAAGGTTGATGTCTAGATGTGAAATAAAATTTAGCGCGATTTTACAATAAACTTTAAATAGACGTGAGCCGAAGAAAGGTAAACGATTTTATTTAATTACTTGTTAATCGTAACATCTGTCTGGAGTTGTGTGGTCAAAGCTCGTTGAGTCACAAATACAATGACGACAACGACACACAGTCTTGAAATGTTTGTTCGTAAATGTGGGCCGATAATTCGGCTGTTTGAACGACGACGATTAATCACGTACACACTTTCGAAGCGATTTATAATTTGTACTTCGTTTGAATAGAATTATTTGAAGAGTATGTTCTGTTAATGCTTTGTAACATTGACCATTGTATACAAAATATACATATATGAACGGCATCGTGGCTCTAACTCTCGCAATGCAAGAGAAGAAACAAAACAAAACATCACAATACAAGCGACAATGATACCGTGTGAACGATGTAGAATGGAGGAAAGAAGCCCCAGTAAGAAAATATAACCGAATCGTATTAACTGCGCATGTGTTGTTCCTTTTCACACAGTGGGTCTCTTTTATTTTGTATCGGAACTAGGTATATTACAATATATGGTACAATCTATCTGCTGCTGCCTTCTTATTGCTTTGTATGTATGTGTAACGTTACTATTTACAGTTTGAATGTATTGCCTCTTCTTTCTTGTTCCCGCAGCTTGCTTGCTTGTTGGGTGCGACTGAGTAAGCATATCATATGAATACGAAGTGAAAAAAAATTGATGAACACTTTCTTATGACTGTTTGGGCTTCATACTTTTTTTATATTTAAGTTTTCATCATCGAATTTGATTATTAATTAGCGAATATCAAAGAGATTTTTCAGCGATTTTTTTGGATTTTACGTTAAAATAAAAGTTAAATTTTCGATCGTAAACGATTTTGAATGGTAAATGACGCAAAATGCGATTATTATTGAAATTGAAATGCGAATTTACATCGACAAAACTAAGCAAGCACCATTCAACATTGTGTGAAGTGAATGCAATTGGTTGATATGATATTTCCAATAGCTAAAAATAAAATGGCGTCACTCGTCGCGCGTACAAAACCGATTTGGGAGAAAATAGAAAATGATTTACTTTTTCGATTTTTAAAATGTTTTTTTTTCTCTCGCCCGATTTTTAATTGATGCATTCAAATTTGTCAAAATTTGCACAAAATATGTTGGCGATTTTTTTTTTCGATTTTTTTTAGTTTCGATGTAACCGATTTATGTAAAATAATTTATTAATCATTATTCCAGAACTTTCTTTTACACAAAACTTGAATTGAGCAAAAATCTTTAGTCAAAAAGAATCAACTTACCTTTACTTTGTTTCACACACAAATTACACGATGAACGTCTGAACGATTCAAAGAGCACAAATAAACTGACAGACACCGCTAAGAGCGTAACAATAAATATTATTGGGATCATAGCAAGCGTTGCAAGAAGGAAACGGAGAGAGGTCGAGAAATAGAGAGGTGAATTTTGTGAGCGGTTTGAATTAACAGTGCCATCTATTGTATTTGTACCGAAGTGTGCATTTTTTGTTGGAAAAACCAATGAAAACTCTGAAAACAGAAGAAAATAAAAGAAAATAAAAGAAATACTCTTTTTTTCTTAATATTTGAAATATTTTTTTCTGTTGCAATATCAATAGGATTGACTTATCATTTAAGTAGTTCAACGGTCTTTCCCTCCACAAATAAACAGCTGAAACTGACATTTAATTTATAACGATGTTTGCCGCGCTTTTATACATGCCTTATAGTAGCGTTTCTATATTATGTGTCCCAATTTTGTCCTATTACAAAGTTTTCGAAGACTTTTTCGAGCTAAAAATGCTAGCCCATTTCTTAGTTTCATTTTTTGAATTTGAATAAAAATTGCATTAATTATTTGTTCAAAAATAACTGTTGCGAATGAAAAGGTGAACAAGAGTTCAATGTCCTGTTTCTTTCAAAATCACGCTTTACCTTTTGCACTTTTTCATTGACCCAATCTGAAAACGCTATAAACAAAATTTAGCTGAAAATGCTCCAAATAAAAAGACCAGTTGATTTTCCGTTTATAATATTTCAATTGATTCGGACTTCGTTAATTTATTCATGGTTTTTATTAGTCAAATGTTATGTTTCTTATCAAATTTATATTTGTAATGTGAAAAGTTTGAAAAAATGTATATTCTTATGGTATTTGCTTAAGCACGTTCGCCTCGGATACGACGAGCGAGTTGGATGTCCTTCGGCATGATGGTGACACGTTTGGCGTGGATGGCGCACAAATTGGTGTCTTCAAACAAACCAACCAAGTATGCTTCGGATGCTTCCTATAATGCACAACAAAAAGAACGAATTTAGTTCACAAATCGAAGATATTCATTTGATAAACAATATTCTTTAAATAAAATTTGAAAAATTCATAAAATTCAATGAAATATCAAAATAAAAAAGAACTAAAACTGAATCAAAATATTAAGAGTTACTCACTTGCAAAGCGCCGATGGCAGCCGATTGGAAACGCAAGTCGGTCTTGAAATCCTGTGCAATTTCACGCACCAAACGTTGGAACGGCAACTTGCGGATCAACAATTCGGTCGACTTTTGGTAGCGACGAATTTCACGAAGAGCGACGGTACCTGGGCGATAACGATGTGGTTTCTTGACACCACCGGTGGATGGAGCACTCTTACGTGCAGCCTTGGTAGCCAATTGCTTACGTGGAGCCTTTCCTCCAGTAGATTTACGAGCTGTCTGCTT